ATCAGCAGCATCATCAGCATCATCATCATCCTCCTCCTCATCATCAGCAGCAGCATCGTCAGCATCAGCATCATCATCATCATCGTCGTCATCATCATGATCATCATCATCAGCATCATCATCAGCAGCATCAGCATCATCATCATCATCATCATCATCAGCATCATCATCATCATCAGATTCTTCATCATCATCATCATCATCATCATCATCATCATCATCATCGTCGTCGTCGTCGTCGTGGATTGCATCATCATCATCATCATCATCATCAGCAGCAGCAGCAGCAGCATAAGCATCATCATCATCAGCATCGTCGTCATCATCATCATAACCATCATCATCCTTCATCATCATCATCATCATCATCATCATCATCATCATCAGCTGCAGCATCCTCATCATCATCATCATCGTCATCGTCAGCATCATCCTCAGCATGATCATCAGAAGCAACAGCAGCATGAGCATCAGCATCAGCATTAGCATCATCAGCATCAGCATCATCATCAGCAGCATCATCGTCATCAGCATCATCATCATCATCGTCAGCATCATCAGCGTCGTCATCATCATCGTCGTCATCATCATCGTCATCATCATCATCGTCATCATCATCATCATCATCGTCAGCATCATCATCATCATCATCATCATCATCATCATCATCATCATGATCACCATCATCACCATCACCATCATCACCATCATCCTCATCATCATCAGCATCATCATCAGCATCATCCTCATCATCATCCTCATCCTCATCTTCATCCTCATCATCCTGATCATCAGCAGCATCAGCTTCATCAGCATCATCAGCATCGTCATCATCAGAATCATCATCATCATCAGCATCATCATCATAATCATCAGCATCATCAGAAGCCGCAGCATAAGCATCATCATCAGCATCGTCATCATCTCCCTCCGACTCTCGTGGCGCTCTGCGTTGCTCGTTGGTCCCCACGGACTTGTCGGCAGGGGCAGGGGCTCGGCCCTTCTACACGAGGAGCCTCAGCAATCCCGCGCCTTGGCTCCTTCGACGCGTGGGCCACTGACCTCTCGGCCCCCTCCCGAGGTCGGGCTTCTCCTCCCGCGTCGGTGCTGACGGCCCCGGGGCCCGACGCTGGCCTCAAAGGGGGTAAGCCTGGACGACCGCCGCCGTGAAGCGGAGCGGATCGAGGAGCGCTTCCGCGCGCGCGCGCTGGCGCGCGCGAGGGGGCGCGCAGCGAGCCGGTCTGGTCACGTCGGGCCGAGGCCAGAAGAGCATGAGACCCTCCGTCGGCCAAAACACGCAGCACATCGAACTGTACCCATCGGTCGGAAGAGGCAGGCAGAAGCATGAAGCAGGCAGGCGCTGGAAGCAGATTGGGTGTCCACACGCCCCCTAAAGAGGACGGCAAGGTGAAGCAACTCGATCATTGAAGTGGGAAGGTGCTGGAGGCAGATTGGAATCCGGGGATCCAAAAATGCCTAGTTTCAACGACCGATGGGCGCCCATCCCCAGGATGCCCCAGAACATCCAACAAAAGACTTTTTTGGGATCCGCGGGTCGAGAGCGCACCTCTTCCGGTCGAAGCTAGGCGGGCCGCGCGGAGCTTGAATACCATCATCCAACAAAACACACGAAGGACACGAGGGTGCCCTCCCCGAACCAACCTCGGTCCTGCGCCTCGGTCCGTCCGGTAGAGAGTTGGCGTCGATGAGCCGCCAGGTGCCCCGGGGGATCACGGGCCAGCGCAGGCCACGGTGCACAAAACACCCGTGGCCGCGCGCGGGGCCGCGGGCCAAAAAACCCCCGGGGGGCCACGCACGCCCCCAGCAGTCGCGCGGGAGGGGGGAGAGAAGGTGAGGGCACTGGCAGCGGCCTCCTAAATGGGGTGCGGGTAGAACCAAGCTGTGTTCCCAATCCTTAGGCGTGTGAGGACACCACGCAACTCGAAGAGCTGCGGCGACCGTTGTTCAGGAGCGGTCCCTCCAGGGCATAGCATCGCATGCAGATACGTCATATGGTGTACCCGGCCCGTCATATGGTGTACCCGGCCCGTCCTAAATGGGGTCGGAGTAGATGGGGTCGGAGGATCGCGCCGCATCGATACATCGTCGACGTCGGCGACGTCGACGTGAAGCAAAACGGGCTCCGCTCCGCATGCAGCCACGTCACCGATGCCTCGGCTATGCGGCGCGATCCTCCGCTCCCATCCGCTCCGACCCCATCTGGGAGGCCCAAGGCCTAGAATTCGGTCGAGCATGTCCTCCTACGGGTGGATTTTGTGAGAAAACAAAGAAAAAGCATGATCAAAAGAATCAAACATTGTCAGAACATACTGGAAAAAAAGTCCCCTGATTATGCTTGATTGTTTTTTAACTGTTCTCCTGTAGAGGGGCATGCCCAAACATAAACTGTAAGCGCCCCGCGCAGATTTCTTGGATCTGCGCTGGACCCCCCTCCCTGGCGCGGAGCGCGCCAGGGGCGGCGCCGATCCAAGAAATCTGCGCGGAGCGACAAGGGTTTTCTGTTTATTCGGCGGTGGACAAAACTCCCTTTAGTAAACCTCTCTTTAGTGAACACGGCCTGGGACCGAAGCCGCCGGACCTGAACCCGCAAAACGACGGCCGCGACGCCCTCTCGCGAACCGAAAACGGCAAATTCCTGGATCGACGTGTCAGGGCAGGAGGTCTGTCCACCCCCGATGCATGTCGCTATGTCCTCTCCCGTGACCACACACATCGGCCAAGCTCTGGGCCGCTGGCGGCACTCCACCCGGCACGCCCGAGTCGAAGGCCGCCGCCGCGCCGAACACGCGGCGCAAAAGCGCCCGCCGCGCCCCCCCCCCGAGCTGGGCGCTCGCGCGCGCGCGCGGCGCTCCTCCTCGTCGTCGTCCGCCATGGTGCCGTGGCCCCGCTGTCTCGGGACGCCCACGCTCTGCGCACGGAGCCCAAACGGCTGCGGGCGGGCGGGGGCGGAGAGAGCCGCCAGCGCGCCCGCACTCCCGGCCGCGGGCGCCGCCGCGGGAGACTCTTCGTGGCGGTCGCGGTTTCGGCGTTCTTCTGCTGTTCTGGGGGGGTGGGGGTCTTGGCATCGAGGGTCGGAGGTCGAGGATCGGGCGAGCATCGAGGATCGGGCTCGTGCTCGAGCTCACGAGGCTCGAGGATCGGAGCTCGAGGATGGGGAGCGAGGGTCGAGAAGCGAGGCTTGTGCGACCCAGACCCCCTCGAAGATCGAGAATCGAGGATCGGGAATCAAGAATCGAGGCTGACCTCTCTCGGCGCCACTCCTGGACGCGGCTCGGAGAACGTCGGGACTGTGCTCGGACGGGGCCAGGACTCGACAGGAGGGGACACAAGCGCCCCGACCGCGGAGAGTCCACCGACTGCGCCGAGGCGAGAGAGAGGGAAGACGAGAGCGAGGGGGAGGCAAGCCGGGGAAGTGGGGGTGATGAGTAGAGGAACGAGAAGTATGCACATACACCGATTCTGGCCAGGCCCATCCTGAGCCCAGGATCGGTGCATACGCCCTCCTACCTTGGCCAGGAAGGCATATGCACCGATCCTGGGTCAAGGATGGGCCTTGCCAGGAGCGGTGCATGTGCATAGTTCTCTTCGCCCGAATGAGGAATTCATGGATGCGAATCCTGCCATGCACCGACGCACGATGAAAAAAAAAGGCAGAGGCGAAAAATCGGGCCGAGAAAACTCGGCCAACTTCTCGGAGAGCCCGCGGGTCTGGAGGAGACGCATCCATCGGGCGCCGCGGCCCCTCCACCAGAGGGCTCCCCAGAGCGCTCCGACGGCGCCTCGCGGAACGCCCTGCACCGAGCGGTCCCTCGTCCAGGGCCTGCCTGGCATCGACATAGGAGGGCACCAACTACACACCAACACCGATCCTGGCCCAGGATCACCCTGGGCCCAGGATCGGTGTATACGCCCTCCTGCCTTGCGCAAGAAGGTACACCAACACCGATCCTGGCCCAGGATCACCCTGGGCCCAGGGTCGGTGTGTACGCCCTCCTGCCTTGCGCAAGAAGGCATATACACCGATCCTGGGCCCAGGGTGATCCTGGGCCAGGATCGGTGTTGGTGTATAGTTGGTGCCCTCCGACCTTGTCCAGGGCCTGCCTGACATCGACAAGGTACACGAGCGGTGCACCGACCATCTTCGGCACACTACCTCAGCTCGCTCGCAGAAGGGGGAGACGCCCACATGTCTGTCGGCAGTCCTTCTCCCCGCACTCGGTCTTCAGGTCTGGCCCTCCTCCCGCTCGTCGCCTCCCCCTCGTGCTGCCCCCGCCCTCGCCCGCCGTCCGCGCGGGCAGGGAGGCGAGGGCCCTCCACGCGCGGACCCCAGGTGGAGATGCCACACTTCGGGCAGCTGCTCCGGAAGTGTGGAAAGCGGGCACCGAGATTAGGGGAGCAGAAAGTGACATCAACAAAAAAGCTCGGAGGTCCGCGCGGATTTCTCGCATCGGCGCCGGACCCCCCTCCCTGGCGCGCGGAGCGCGCCAGGGGCGGCGCCAGAGGCGCCGCCGGGGGGGTCCGGCGCGGCTCCGAGAAGTCCGCGCGGACCTCCGAGCTTTCATGTTCATGTCATGCTTGATTCCCCGAGACACGTGCAAGTGAGCACCGAGCGGCGAGGACGTCGGAAGAGCGAGGCCCCAGAGCACCACCCTCCCGGCCGCGGCGTCGGCCCGCGAGGGCGCGGCTGCGCGCCCGCGGGGCGAGACGGGGCTGGGCGGCTCTCCCTGCTCGTCCGTGGGCGCCGCAGCGGCGGGGCCGGGAGTGGGGCGCCGCGGCGCGCGCCGCGCTCGCTCGGCCTCCGCGCCTGCCGCGGCGGCGAGCGAGGGGGGGAAGTGGGGAGGAGGATAGGGGAAGAGAACTTTTTGGGTCGGCGGGGCGAGAGCGAGCCTCCTCCGCTATAAAAGCTAGGCGGGCGACGCACAGCTCTGATAATGTGGGAGACGGGGCAGAGGCGGGGCGGGGCCTCAGGGCGGCCGGAGAGGGCGGGGCCCGCAAGGATAGGGGAACAGAAAGTGACATAAACAGAAAAACTCGGAGGTCCGCGCGGATTTCTCGCATCGGCGCTGGGGCCCCCCGGCGGCGCCTCCGGCGCCGCACCTGGCGCGCTCCGCGCGCCGGGGGGGGGGGTCCGGCGCCGATGCGAGAAATCCGCGCGGACCTCCGAGTTTTTATGTTTATGTCATTCTTCGTTCCCCTAGAGGAGGACTTCTCACCAGGCGGCGGGACCTCTCAGAAGCCCCCGTCCCGCGGAGGCTTCTGCCCGACTTCGGAGGAGGCTCAGAGAACTTCTCAGAAGGCCGCGGGGGGCTTCCAGGCCTTCTGAGAAGGCCTTCTCCTTCTCACGTCCCCCCCTCGCTCGCCGCCGACTGTGGGGGCCAGGATGCGTCGCATCTACTGGGGCCCCATGGTAAAGGCGTGGCCCCGTGCTGTCGCGTCGCCGTCCTCGTCGAGCCCGCGTCGGCGCCAGGTCGAGCGCGTCGAATCCGCGCCGGGTCCACGGCGAATCCGCGTCGCAACCACGCCGAGGCCATGCCGAAGACGCGCCGACCACGCGTCGAAGACAAATAGTTACGGGACAGACGAGGTCCTCCAAAGATGCGACGTAAGCAACACACAGGTCGCCCGGATGGACCGACAACGGCACGAGTAACTCTGCATCCAGACCACGCGCGCGCACCCGCAACACATCACGCAGACGTCGCGTGACGCGGCCCATGACACCGCGCAGAACACGCACGACGACCCCGAGAAGTGCCCAGTCAGGCAACTCCAGCATACTCGATGTACTGGAGCCGCGCGCACGCGTCGCGAGCTCAGGTTCTAGCAAACTCCAGCCCTTGGCAAGCTCGCAGCTGCACGCATGTGCACACCGAGTCAGGGAACAGGAGTTTAGGAAGCAGCAAGAAAGCAGACCGAGAAGGGACGTCAAAGCGACAAGGGTAGACCGATCGAAAGTCGGTTCGGACCAATGCGAAGTAGCGCAAGGCAACATGCAACGCACTGCAAGGGCAGTGTAAAAGCGCTGCCATGGAAAACGGGTGCAATCGTAACGGAGCGGAGAGCAGAGTAAAACAACACACTGCAAGGAAACGTCGACCAACTCAAATGCAAGGCAGCTGAAGCAGTGTTAATCAGTATAAAACAGGACAATGTAAAGCAACCCTGTCTGAAGGGCTCGCACGCCGGAACTCTCTTGGGGCACTCGAGCTCAATTTTGGTAATTGGGGTCCTTCTGAGGGCAAGATAACTTTCTGGGGCTTCTGGGGCTCGCGGGAGCAGGCCCACAACTGTGTCGACGATGTTGGGCGCGCCAGAAGCTCCAAAGACTTGCTAGACCACTTAGGTGACTGCCCAAATGTGCGAGGAGGGCCCAAGAGGCTCCAAAATGACTTCAAGACGTCTCCCAGACGACCGCACGAGAGCTCCAATAAGACCGCAGACAAATCAAAATGAGAGAACAAGAGACACCTCAGACGCTCATCGGTTTCTTCGAGACCTGTTCAGAGTCATTATTCGACCAACAGAGAAATCGGAAATCCCACGCATGTCCCAAAACCTGACGACTTGTGTTGTCTTTAGATCCATTCTGATGAGTTGGGAACTACGTTGGGGCGGGCCGAAAATCTTGAGCCCGTCTAGCTCCTTGGAGTGTATCGAAGCTATCTTGGGGCTCTCTCTTGGACCATCGTGTGTGCCCTCTTGGGCTGGCGTGAGCTTTTCTCGGGGGTCTCTTGAAGACGAGTTGAGCCCGCTTGAGGCTACCTGACTCTCTCGCGGGTCCTTTGCCCTCCCTTCGAGGGGCCAAGCGAACATCACGCAAACACTTTTTTCCGGTCTGCGGGTCCACAGCGTACCTCTTCCGGTCGGAGCTAAGAAAACCACGTAAACACCAGCAGAAAAGAATTAAGTTGTGCCTCACAAGGGCCCCTGAGGGAACCTCTTCACACGCCCTGGTGGGGGGCCCTTCGGACCGTCCTGGACCGTCCTTGAATTGTTCGAGTTCGGCAACTCTTGCTTGCCTTCGTATGCTTATGGGGTTTCCTGGTTGGACCTCCTGAACTCTCTCAAGCTGCCTTGGGGAGGGCTGGGAGGCCACGGAGGGCGGCATTTGTCTTCCGAGCGTCTTCGGGCAACGATGTCGCGTTGGGAAGAATATCCCTGGGGCTGATCAGGCTCAGGAGAGCTCTCTCCTAACGCCAGACACTGGACCGACGCCGCGAGGAGACGTGGGTTTGCACCACCTAGCGTGCACCACACAACTTCCACCATGTTCTTTGTACCAAATAGATTACACCGCACAGATTGCGACGGCGCGGGCTTGCACCACATAGCTTGCATCACGCCGCACTTCGCACCACACAGCTTGCACCACGCAGTTAGCGACGGTGTAGTTTTGCACCACAACCAAGGAAAGCGTGAGAACGCTTCAAACTAAGCCGAGCCAGAACAAAACCAAGCAAAACAACCTGCAAGGACGTTTCAAGCGAACCCAAGCCGAAAACAAACCAAAAAAGGCAACTTGCGAGGACGTCTCAAGCGATTCCGCGCCGAAACCAAACCAAACCAAGCAATGTGCGAGGACGCCCCAAGCGAAACCGGCCCAAAACCAGACCAAACCATGGGCCAAGCGATGGCAATTTCCCATGATGCGTCAAGCGGGGCGTCCGGCCAAACCAAGCCAAACCAGGCCAAACCGGGAGCGAATTCTGAGGACGTCTCTGGTGCGCCCACCCAAACCAGGCCTAACAAGCGACTTGGGAGGACGTTTCAAGCAAGACGCCCCAAGAACAGGCTCCATCCACTACTGTATGAAAAAGTAAACAACAGAAGTGGATGACCCAAGGGGCTCCCCGCAGGGGGCCTGCGAATACGAATTTGGCGGGGAGGGGGTCCAAAACTGAACGATTCCCATTGTAAATGCGATCGAACTA